CCTGCGGCCGGCGGCGGCGACCGTGAGTGGGGTGCTGACCTCCCTCGCCCGGTGTGGGTGGGAGGACGGGCGGGTGGGTGGACGCCTGCATCCCAGCCCTGGTGACCCTTCTTTAAAATATCAACATTTGATCTCTCCGATTTTTAAAATTTTGAGACAGGGTCTCACCCGGACCGGGCTTGCATTTGTGACCCTCCTGCCTCAGCCTCCCAGAGTGCTGGGATGACAGGCGTGCGACACCACGTCCGGCTTAAAGCAATTCGCTTAAAAAGCAAATTAAGCAGCCGGGAGTGGTGGTGCACGCCAGACATCCCGGCACTCGGGAGGCTGAGGCAGGAGGATCACCCAGAGTTCCAGGACAGCTTGGGCTACACAGTGAGTTCAAGGCCAGCCTGGAGTACATAGACACCCTGTTAAAAAAAAAATTCCCGATGATCACCAGGTGCATGCTGTAGCAAGTACATGGTGGTAATCCCACAACTCAGAAGGCAGAGGCAGGAGGATCACCAGTTTGAGGCCAGCCTGGGCTTCACAGGGAGTTCCAGCTGGCCTCGGACGTAGCGAAACAGGGTCTCAAAGAACAAAATCGAACCAGGCAAAAAATTGATTGCCTCTAATTGTTCCTGAGACCACGGGGGCACTGGCTAGGTCCGCGGAGGACCAGCTGTGGGTGCCTCCAGGGAATGGAGCAGGAAGCAGTACTGCTCCCTGTGAGGGCCTTGGGGTACGCAGGGGCTGGATGAGACGGAGAGTGAATGACTCAGAGTGAACAGCAGGTGCTTACTAGTGCTTCCTGGAGCCGCGTGTGGTGGCGCACACCTGTAACCCCAGCACCGGGGAGGCTGAGGCGGGAGGATCCCCGAGAGTTCCAGGTCAGCCTGAACGACACAGTGAGACCTTGTCTCCAAACACAAAAACAAAACACTTAAAAAAAAAAAAAGTGCTTCCTGTTTTTAATTTGTCAGCACGACGGGCGTTTAGGGGGTGAGGGCCCGGCGTGAACGGTGCACACGGTGTGGTGGTGTCCTGCTGACTCCCTCTCTGTCCCCAGGTGAACATCTGAAACGTCTCCCCTGGCCGGCAGCCGGTGGGGACCCCGCACAGGTCGCTGACCAGCAGCCTCTGTCCCCAGAGGCCCCCAACCTCGCACGCCACTGCTGCCTCACTGGCTGCACCCGCACAGACCTGCTGAGCCTTTGTCCCCACTGACCGCGGCTGGAGGCCTCAGGGCATCGGGGAGGAGGCCGTGGAATCGAGGGCCTCCACTCACGGGACCTCAGGACCGCAGGGCCCTGAGCCCACCCTGCCCTCCTGCCGCATCTCCTCCCGCATCTCCCCAGTCCGGAATAAACATCCTTGAGCAGTGTCTGGTGTTTTCTACAGACAAAGGGACGAACCAAGGGCGGCCCCTGTGTGGGCTTGTTCTCTGGCCGCGAGTGGACCCGCAGCCGCTCCCAGGAGCCTGACGGCAACTCGAGGGCCATCAGGATTCAGAGCAGGGTGGCCTGGTGCGGGGGCGCGCACCTGCCGGCCCAGCACTCGGAGGCTGAGGTAGGAGGATCTCTGTGAGTCCCCGGGAACAGCGGCCACGACACAGATCTCGGAGAGATGGGCACATTCACCGACCCAACCCCAGCCATCGCTCGCGCTGTCCGCTCCCGTTACCCAGGCTGGGGATGGATGCTGTGAACTCTTGCGTCTGTGTGGCCCCCATCCCCACATCCAGGCTGTGACAGATGATCACGAGCTGGGTGACTTCCAATAGTAGGGATTTACTGTCACGGTTCTGGGGACACAGGTCGGAAGGCAAGGCGTAGGCTGGGCTGGATCCCTCTGGGGGCCACACAGGGCACACGGCGCCCAGCCCCTCTCTGGCTGCTGGTGGCAATGAGAATCATAGGTTCCCCAATGGCTCGTGGCTGCACCCTCCTGTCTCTGACTCTGTCCTCTCATAAGGCCAGCAGGTGCTGGGTGCAGGGTCCAGGTGAGCCTAGGACACCCGCATCTCCACCGCCCCTTGATTTCCATCTGCAGAGACCCCTCTTTCCCTGAGCCTGTGTCTGAGGTTCCAGGCTGCTGTTCTTAGGGGACCCCATTCACGCCAGCACAGCAGGAACAGGGGCACCGGAACTCTCCCAGGGAACTGGGGAGCCATGGAGGGTGTGCAAGCTAGGGCAGGCTGAGCTCAGCCCTTCTCACCCACAGCCTTGGTCCTCCCACCCCGATCCCTACCCTAGTCCCCAAGGAAGCTGCAAGGCTTCTGAAAGCTTAAAAAAAAAATCATCTTATTTACTTGACAGATTCCTTTGCTTACAAAATCAGCACCCTGTCCTTATCACAGGCCCTGTGACTTCCTGCCCTCTTCACCTCCTCTTTACCTCACTCTGGCCATGGGTACCACTGCCTCCAAGCGCTGCCGCTCACCTGGCCCCAGGGCCTTTGCACGTGTCGTGTCCTGTGCTGGGAGTGTCACTCAGTTGCACCCAGCACCATGTCCACCACCTCCTGCGGCCCCAGCTTCTCAGCCTTCCAGCTGACACCTGTCCCCACCTGCGTCTCATCCCCTGGGGCTAATGTTACTCAGAGTTCTTATCTGCTTGGGCGACACTGGACCAGACCCTCCCCCCATTTCCGACCCAGGCCTTTTCTCTAAGTTTCCCAGGCTGCACTTGAGCTTAGGAACCTCCTGCTTCAGTCCCCCTGAGTGCTGCGATCACAGACGCACACCACAGTGCCCAGCTCCAGGTTTATCTTCTGGCTGTAAAAAGACGGGAGGGCGGAGACAGGGAGGGTGTGCAGACACAGGGGGTGCACGGTAAATGCTCCAGGAGGCGTCTGAGGCCAGGAGCAAGGGGAGGAGAAAGTCGAGGGGCGGCTGTGTGGCAGGCAGTCGCAAGGGTCCCACAGCCCCAGCTCTGAGCCTGAAGCACTGTGGCCAGGGCATCCACGGCGTCGGGGTAGGGTGGGTTGGAGCGGGTGCGGTGCCGCACTGTCTGACGGGAAGCTGTGCAAGCCCCGCCCCATCCACGCTGGGCTCAGGGACGATCTTGCCCAGAAATCAGCTCGCGGAGGATGAACGGAGACCTGCCTTTGTTCAGACTTACAAGTGGACCTATTTTCGCTGCTTTGTTTTGAAGACGAGGTCTCACTATGCTGTTCAGGCGGGCCTCAAAAGCGCTATGTAGCCCAGGCTGGGCTCAGACTCCCAGTCCTCCTGCCTCAGCCTCCCGAGTGCTGGGACTCAGATCCCTGGCTAAAGGGCTTTTAGAAACAAAAAAGAGCCAGGCATGGGGGCGTAGACTTGCAATCCTAGCACACAGGAGGCTGAGGCAGAAGCATTGTTATGAGTTGGAGGCTAGCCTGGGCTACAGAGTGAAACGCCGTCCCAATAAAAGAAAAGAAACAAACAAACAAAAAAAAACAAAGTTAGAAATAAAAGATATATGTGTACGAGGGGGTGAAGGGAGGGTAGGGGAGCGGGGAAAAAAAAATGAGAACCAAGACCTGTCATGTAAAGGTACAAGATCCCAATGATGAATGGAACTGTGCTGTGTACTTAAAAAGCACCAATAAACTCAATGAGATAAAAAGCTGTATGTATATAAAAGCAAGTCAAATTAT